AAGAGTGAAACTCCGTCTCAAAAAAAAAAAAAAAGAAAAGTAGGCTTATATAGGGTTCTCCAAATAAAAGAACAAAATCGAACATTCTAACTAAATAAAGTTTAGTACACTAATTTTGGAATTATAGCTAAAATTATTTTGTGTGCATAACTTACATTTATTTATTTATGTATTTATGGAGAGTCTTCCTCTATCGCCCAGCCTGGAGTATAGTGGTGTCATCTTGGCTCACTGCAACCTTCATCTCCCGGGTTAAAGCTATTCTCCTGCCTCAGCCTCCGCAGTAGCTGGGATTACAGGGGTGCACCACCATCGCTAAGTTTTGCATTTTTAGCAGACACAGGGTTTCATCTTTTTTGCCAGGCTGATCTCAAAATTCTAACCTTAGTTGATATGCTCACCTCGGCCTCCCAAATTGCTGACATTACAGGTGTGAGCCACTGTGCCTGGCCCATGACTAAATTTTATTAAAATCATTCTTATAAGCACATAGAAGCTCACATACTTAGTACTCTGTAAACTATAAAACAAAAAAATATATACATAAGAAACAAGAAAGTCATGGGTCTAGCATAAGTACCAGGCAAGTAAAAACAGATAATTTGGATGGGGAGACTCTGAACTGTAAGCCACAATATATTACAGTAATCAATTCAATGCAAAGTAGAAAGTATAGATTGGCAGCTTTGCACAATGGTGGTATTGTAGTCAAATGAGGTTTATCTGAAGCAGAATTATTGCTAATTGAAAACTTTTCCCACTACCCTGCTAGGATGAGGTGAACTGGCAATTTTTGGCGGTCTCTACAGGGACTGAATTTTTTTTTTTAAAAAAAGAAAGTATAGATTTGCATTCAGCATTTCGGAGGATTTTTGTTTTCTAAAATATCAGACATCTGGCTGGGTGTAGTGGCTCATACTTGTTATCCCAGCACTTTGGGAGTCCAAGATGGGTGGATTCACCTGAGGTCAGGAGTTCAAGACAAGCCTTATTAATATGGTGAAACTCCATCTGTACTAAAAATACAAAGATTATCCAGGTGTGGTGGCCTACACCTGTAGTCTCAGCTACTGGGGAGACTGAGAGAGAATTGCTTGAATCCAGGAGGTGGAGGTTGTAGCCAGCTGACATTGTGCCACTGCACTCCAGCCTGGGCGGGTGAGATTCTGTCTCAAAAATACTAAAAATGATAGAAAATTAGGCACTTAATTAAAATAATTTGTTTTCTTCCAATATTAATTTTTTACTCTGAAAATACAAACTCATACTCAAATAATTTTCTTATGCCTAAGGTTTACATTTAGACTAATAGATGTGTATGTTTAACACTATGTAAATGAAAACTAAAAGTCTGTGTGTTTGCAAACATACAGGCCACATATTCAAATAAGAATACATAAGAAATTTTAAAAAGTATTTATTCAGGATTCATATGATTAAATTTTATTTATAGTTGTATATAACTTTTAGTATTACAAAAATGATTCTGTAGTCAATAACAATACATTGTAGTTAAAAATAACTAAAACTATAGAACTGGACTGTAATGCAAAAAAAAAAATAAATTCTAGAGGTAATGAATACCTCATTTAACTTAATGTGATTATATACTGTATAGCTCTATCAGAATATGTAGATATAACAAATATTATGTACCCACAAAAATTAACACAAGTAAATTTAAATGTAAAAAAAGAGAATAACAATTTTACCTACAGGAATAATATTCCCTATTTGCAGTTTTAAGCCACTGGCAAAAAAGATTACTAGAGATGTTAGTCCATTATTTAACCAACTAGCGTATTCTTACCATCTTTTACTTACAGCCTTGAGTAAGGGGGACTAGGTTAAAGAAAGTGGATTAAGATTTACTTTAATGCACAATATTTAACATGTGAAAAATGTTGACTTAAGAAATTAAGTTCACATGTAATCTGAAATTGTTAACATATACCACATTTTGTTTCATAGAAGTACAATTAGTGAAATATTTTACTAACTAATTTCTTTTTTTTTTTTTTTTTTTTTTTTTTTTTGGTTTTTTTTTTTTTTTTTTTTTTTTTTTTTTTTGAGACGGAGTTTCGCTCTTGTTACCCAGGCTGGAGTGCAATGGCGCGATCTCGGCTCACCGCAACCTCCGCCTCCTGGGTTCAGGCAATTCTCCTGCCTCAGCCTCCTGAGTAGCTGGGATTACAGGCACGCACCACCATGCCCAGCTAATTTTTTGTATTTTTAGTAGAGACGGGGTTTCACCATGTTGACCAGGATGGTCTCGATCTCTTGACCTCGTGATCCACCCGCCTCGGCCTCCCAAAGTGCTGGGATTACAGGCTTGAGCCACCGCGCCCGGCCTAATTTTTGTATTTTCAGTAGAGACGGGGTTTCAACACATTGGCCAGGCTGGTCTCGAACTCCTGACCTGGTGATTCACCCACATCAGTCTTCCAAAGTGCCACAATTACCAGAGTGAGCCACTGCATCAGGCCAATTTAACTAAAAATATTTGTCTCTTAATGCACAAGAATATTACTCTGCACACTTACCTCATGCATCACTCACCTCATGCACCACTCAATATTGTTAAGTTAGCCACAAAGAACCTTTTTACTTAGATTTAGATTTTCATCATGCATCTCACATTTTAATGTACTCGCTCTTTCATAAAAGAGGTCATAAATGCTCACCTAATAAAAAAAATCTCATCTTTGATGCAGCAATAATTGGTCACATGCTTTTATGTATGAATACAATAGGAATAAAGCAACAGGATGGGCCTGACAGAGTGGCTAACACCTGCAATCCCAGCACTTTTGGAGGCTAAGCTGGGCAGATCACTTGAGGTCACGAGTTTGAGAACAACTTGGCCAACCTGGCAAAACTCCACCTTCACTAAAAATACAAAACATAGCCAGGCATGGTGGTATGTGCCTGTAATCCCAGCTACTAGGGAGGCTGAGGCAATTGTGTCACTTGAACCCAGAAGTTGGAGGTCGCAGTGAGCCGAGATCACACCACTGCACCCCAGCCTGGGTGAGAGAGTGAAACTCTGTCATTAAAAAAACAAACATTTCATTAGCATGAAGTAATTTGAGAATTAATTACAACATTTTTACTATGAAGTAATTACGGGGTTAACTACCACATTATTTGCTTCTGAAAAAATCTGTAATCTTTCCTAAAAAAGTATACTTGTAATTATAACTCTTCAAAAAACTTTCTAATCTTTTAAAGTTACATACAATTTTTCTACCAACTTTAGTTTTGGATGATTTTCTAAACTCAGAATACTGGTTTAGTGTTAACGACTGAAGTGTTAGTGCCTTAATTATTTTCAATTGTCTGATATTTACATAGACTTAATTTTTGATTAAATATTTTTTTCCTATGTACTCAATCTGCAAAAATATGTTTTAGTATAAACTCTCTGGGATTTTCTAAGCTTTAGCTTTTAAATAAATGTTTTTTCCCCAAAGTTATTATATTTCCATAGTTTTTTATATATTCTCTGATACTGAACAAAGTTTGAGCAATTGCTTCAGGGTTTGCCTCTAATACAAAATAACAAAATCTGTGTTACACATAAAGGTACTACAACTCTCTTTATACTTGGAAAGTTTGTCTTTGAAATAAATGCTCTTCAGCACTTTAAAGACTGAAGAATGTTTTGAGAGAATTGCACTTTTAATGCTTTAAGTATAAACTCTTTCATGTACAGTAAGATTGTGAGCAGATATTAACCACTTTTTAACTTTCATTTGTACATTTGTTCTCAAGTATAAATGCTTTCCTGTGCAATAAGGTGTGAGCATTATGTAAAAGTTTTGCAACATTGTTTATACTTCTAGAAGTTTTCTCCAGTACGAATTACCTTACCTACAATCAAGTGTGACAACCATTTAAAGGGTTTGTCACATTATTAATATTTCTCACCAGCATAATTTCTTTTATGTTTGGAAATGTTTGAGGTGTTGTCCCAAGCATTGTCACAACTTTAGGGTTTCTAGAGCGTCTCTCCAGTATGAATCATCTTATGTCTGTTAAGGATTCAGGACTAGTTAAAGGCTTTGCCACATTCTTCACACTTGTAGGGTTTCTCTCCATTATTAACTATCTTAGGACTAATAAGATTTGAGGACTCGCTAAAGGCTATGCCACTTCCTTCACATTTGTAGGATTTCTTTCCAGTACAAATTCTCTTATGTGTAGTAAGGTTTAGAGATTGATTAAAAGCTTTGCCACATTCCTAACATTTGTAGGGTTACTTTCATATGAATTATCTTATGACTAGTAAGGTGTGAGAGCCTGCTAAAGGCCTTGCCACATTCTTCACATTTGTAGAATTTCTCTCCAGTATGAATAGTTTTATGTGTACTAAGGTGTGAGGATTGGCTAAAAGCTTTGCCACAGTCTTCACATTTATAGGGTTTCTCTCCAGTGTGAATTTTCTTATGTGTAGTAAGGGTTGAGGACTGGTTAAAAGCTTTACCACATTCCTCTCATTTGTAGGGTTTCTTCCCAGTATGATTCCTCTTATGGGTAGTAAGGTGGGCGAATTGGTAAAAGGTTTTTCCACATTCTTCACATTTGTAGGGTTTCTCTCCAGTATGAATGATCTTATGTTTAGTAAGGTTTGATGAATGGTTAAAAGCTTTGCCACATTTCTCACATTTGTAGAGTTTCTCTCCAGTATGAATTATCTTATGTGTAGTAAGGTTTGAGGATTGATTAAAGGCTTTGCCACATTCTTCACATTTGTAGGGTTTCTCTCCAGTATGAATTATCTTATGTCTAGTAAGAATTGAGGGTTTGTTAAAGCCTTTGCCACATTCTGCACATTTGTAAGGTTTTTCTCCAGGATGAATTTTTTTATATGTAGAAAGGTTTGAGGCCTTATTATAGGCTTTGCCACATTCTTTAAATTTGTAAGGCTTCTCTCCAGCATAAATTATCTTATGTGCAGTATGGTGTGAGAACCACCTAAAGCCTTTGCCAAATTCTTCACATTTGTAGAATTTCTCTCCAGTATGAATTATCTTATGTGTAGTAAGGGTTAAGGATTGGCTAAAAGCTTTGTCACCGTCTTCACATTTGTAGGATTTCTTTCCAGTATGAATTCTTTTATGAGTAGTAAGGTGTACAGATTGGTTAAAGGCTTTGCCACATTCCTCACATTTGTAGGGTTTCTCTCCAGTATGAATTCTCTTATGTGTAGTAAGGCTTTCCTTTTGGTTAAAAGCTTTGCCACATTCTTTACATTTGTAGGGCTTCTCTCCAGTATGAATTCTTTTATGAGTAGTAAGGTGTGCAGACTGGTTAAAAGCTTTGCCACATTCCTCACATTTGTAGGGTTTCTCTCCAGTATGAATTCTCTTATGTGTAGTAAGGTTTTCCTTTTGGTTAAAAGCTTTGCCACAGTCTTCACATTTGTAGGGTTTCTCTCCCGTATGAATTCTCTTATGTGTAGTAAGGTTTACAGATTGGTTAAAGGTTTTGCCACATTCCTCACATTTGTAGGGTTTCTCTCCAGTATGAATTCTCTTATGTGTAGTAAGGCTTTCCTTTTGGTTAAAAGCTTTGCCACAGTCTTCACATTTGTAGGGCTTCTCTCCAGTATGAATTCTCTTATGTGTAGTAAAGTGTGCAGATTGGTTAAAGGCTTTGCCACATTCCTCACATCTGTAGGGTTTCTCACCAGTATGAATTCTCTTATGTGTAGTAAGGCTTTCCTTCTGATTAAAAGCTTTGCCACAGTCTTCACATTTGTAGGGCTTCTCTCCAGTATGAATTCTCTTATGTGCAGTAAGGTGTGAGAACCAGATAAACCCCTTGCCACATTCTTCACATTTGTAGGATTTCTCTCCAGTATGAATTATCTTATGTCTAGTAAGTTGTGAGACCTGGTTAAAAGGTTCTCCACATTCTTTACATTTGTAGGATTTCTTTCCAGTATAATTTTTTTTATATGTAGACAGGTTTGAAGCCTCATTGTATACTTTGACATATCGTTTATATTTGTAGGGTCTTTCTTGAGTATGAATTATTTTATGTTGAGCTAACTGTGAAAGTGTACAAAGGGACTTATCACATTCTTTACATTTGAAAGGATTCTTTCCAGTTTGTCTTATCTTATGTCTGTTTGAATTTGAAAATTTATGAAAGACTTTCACAAATGTGTTGCATGGAAATATTTTGCTCCGGGTAGTTGTGAAAAACTGGTTAAGTCCATTGTCACATTCTTTGCGCACCTTACATTCAAACACGCTTTGACAACATTTTCTTAAATGCAAATTTTTATGTCCACATTTTTTATATCTTCTCAGTATCACATTTTGGAAACAATTTTTTATGCCCTGCTTTGGCCAAAGGTCTCGGGCAAAATAAGAACACACAGCTGAAAGAAATAAAAACAAGAAATTACTTCACTTGCTACACTCAGATTTATACACAAATCTTCCCTACAAAATCATGCAAACTACATCACCAGACGGCACAGCAAAATGTTACAGGCTCAAATTTTTTCGCAGATGTATACATGTAACAAAAACATACAGAACTAACTACATTTGTAAAAAATTAAGTGTGTGCAATGCCCCAAATGAGCCTAATGCAAACTGCCGCATAGAAGAAAAGTCTCTTAAATTTACCAAACGCCTTCCCAATATAACATAGTGACTTTAGAAATAAATTGCCAACTTCTGGTTTCTTTTTTAGAAGACAAGTAAAATACTGCCTTATACATCTTTATTTCTGAATGGTATGGTTTTTACAAACACTGGTTCCTGTCTCTCATTACATAAAGGTCTAAAATAAATAGTGGTATTTTTTCAAATGACAGTTTGAGTCTGCTGAGACACAAGGTAAGTTTTATAACAGCAGAAAGACTGTGGTATCACAGACAGAAAACAATTGTAGCAAGTGATTACCGGTTAAGAAGAAACATAAACAGGCTGAGTTTGTTGCTTCACACCTGTAATCTTAGCACTTTGGGAGGCCCAGGTGGCTGGATCACCTGAGGTCAGAAGTTTAAGACCAGTCTTGACAACATGGGAAAACCCTGTCTCTACTAAAAATACAAAATTAGCTGAGCATGCAGGTACATGCCTGTAATTTTAGCTATGTGTGAGGCTGAGAAAGGAGAATCACTTGAACCTGGGTTCAAGTCTTAGCTGCAGTGAGCTAAGACAATGAGAGGAAAGGAACATAAGAAAAAGAAGGAGGAGGAGGAATAATAATGAGTAAACTCCTTTAACTAAAAACTAAAAAGAAAATTTTAGACAAGGCACATTCTAAGAACATGTTTGAGAGACTCCCAGAATCTCTAGCCAAGATGACTGTTTTCAGTCTATGTCAGAAAAAAAATGACATTTTAAATATTGTGACAGGTAGCTTTTTTTAAATGTCCAAATATCAATCAACTATTACAATGTATACAAAACTGGACAATATAATTTCATCAAAAATATTATATAATTTTCAGAAAGAAATCATAAATATGTACATGTTAATTTTTAAACACTGATAATAAATTAAATATTCAATGACTGAAATAGGAACACAGACTACTGTAGAAAATCAGAAAAATAAAAATGGAAATAAATATATATAATATATTTTCTTAAATTTTGGAGGTAAAAAATAGAAAAATAAGTAACTGGAAAAGCCAAAAAGAAAAAATAATGTAAAAATGAAGAATTTCAACAAAAAAATAGAATACATACAAAGATATTTATAACGAATACATATATAAGCACATTTTCAAAAATCACAGATAAGAAGAAAGTTGTGGAAGCTGCAAAATAAAAGTAATGTGTCATTTACAAACATAGTCTTATGATATAACCAGTCAATTATCAACAAAACTTTTGCCGAGCAGAAAGAAACTGTGTGACACAGTCAAAGTCCTGGGAAGAAAAAAAAAGGTATCATGTGAGGACAATAACCATTAGCAAATCTGTCCTGCCAAATAAAAAGAAAAAACAATTCTGGGTTGGGTGTTGTGGCTCACCCCTGCAATCCCAGGGCTTTGGGAGGCTGAGTCAGGCAAATCATGAGCCCAAGAGATCAAAACCAGCCTGGCCAACATGGTGAAATCCCGTCTATACTAAAATTACAAAAATGAGCTGTGTGTTTTCAAAAACAATGAAAAAGTGATCAAATTTTTCAGTCTCTTTTATGCCACAAAGAGGACTTTGGCTGTCACTGTAAATGTGAAGGAATATCACCAAAGGGAAAGTAAAATGTTTAGAGATTTTAAAAAGACAAGACTGAAGATGTTTCTATGTAGAAAAAAAAAAAAAAAGTCACGCTTCCCAGAAACTATTTTCTATGAAACACAGATTTCCAAATCATGTTAAGGACTGGCTTTTTCTTGCTTTGGACCTCTCATCTGTGTCGTCTGTTGTTCTCACTTTCACTCTCACCTACCTGGGGGTTTGGCTACCATCTCATGTCTCTTCACATTCCAAGGTTCTTTTCCTTGCTCCAGACAGGTGATCAGGTCTGGCTTAGAGGCAGCAATACCTGTTTTATTAAAAATTACATGAATCTTGCTCATATTCTCCAATTACCAACTTAGTAGTGTGCTCAGTAAGAAGAATGTAATAGAACATTCTAGTAAAATAATTCTAAAATACTAATTGGTAACAAAAAATTTAAAATATTTTTAAAAATATTTTAATTTTGTAAGTTCTTAATTTTACTACCTGATACTACTAAATCAAAAATTAGTATTGACAATCAGATTTTTAGATGTCGGCAACAGTATGTTATGCCACCAAATTTCTAAAATTAACACTAATCTAGAGTGAAGAACACAGATCAACTCTGGAATGTGGAAAGTTCAGGTCAAAATTAAACATCTTAAAATTATTTTTTACTAGACAAATCTTGAAGTTTTTTTTCTAAACAGATCTAAAAGCAAAAATTACCAAAAATTATTCCTCAAAAAAAAAAGTAAAAAAATAAAACTTAGAATGTATATTAGAAAATTGTACATTGAAGTGACACTCACCCAGGAAGACCAGGTTTCTGTAGTTCTCTAACATCACATTCCTATATAAATTCCGCTGTGCAGTGTTCAGGCATTGCCACTCCTCCAGAGAGAATTCTATGGCCACATCCATAAATGTCAACACTCCCTGAAAAATATACACACACATACACATTTACCAAGTGGCCATGAGCAGAATTTTTAATTTGACTCAAGATAAAACAAGAATAAAGAGAACTTGTTCTTACTTACAGGAGTGGCTGACAATACCTAATAAATAACTTTCAACACAGAAATATTCTCTAATGTATTCTCTAACTGTGAGAAAAGACAGTGGCATAAGACCCACAACATCAACATATACATATCACTTTCTGGACAATGAAGTATAAAACTGAGGGTATAAACACTAACATGTACATTTTTGAGTGCTCTATTTACATCATACAGAATGGGTTGTGTAAACTTTTCAGATGGAAAAGACATACTGAGTTGGAAAGTACTGCTCAAATTTTAATGTGTACAATAAACTGGAGATCTTGTGAATGCAGATTATAGTTTCAGAAAATCTGGAATAAAATCTGAGTTTCTGAATATCTAACAAGCTCACCACGAATGCTAATGTTTTTGGCTCAAGAAAACTATTTTGTTAAACATCCCGTAAGTGAAAGAGGCTGTGTGTTTTTCAGTTTTTATGGCCTGTAAACAGAGATGAGAGCTTTCATTTTCCAAAGACAGATACATGCAAAGAAAACCTAAGAAAGGGCAGCTGCCAGCTTAAAACTTATTGTTTATCTACATCAGCTGCATAAAGATACTTAATAATGGAGAGAAAAATAATTAACTCTATAAAAAAAAGAAAATCTGTCACAAAGCTCATTAACCAAGTGAGTTATTAACATCAACTACATGAGGTCAAATTTCTATGATGTGCTGAGACACACAGAAGGACCCTACGTAACTTCCCTCTCAGAAGTAAACCATAATCTGAATTTAATCATAAAGAAACATGAGTTTGGCCAGGCGCGGTGGCTCCCATCTGTAATCCGAGCACTTTGGGAAGACAAGGCAGGCAAATCACAAAGTCAAGAGATCAACAGCATCCTGGTCAACATGGTGAAACACCATCTCCACTAAAAATACAAAAATCGCAAGCATTCCTATAAGCCAACAATGAACAATAAAAAAGCCAAATCATACATGAACTTTACAACTGCTACAAAAGGCTTAAAATATCTAGAAATACATCTAACAAGGAATGGGAAGGACTTCTTCGAGGAGAACTACAAAACACTGCTCAAGGAAGTAAGAGAGCACAAATCAAATGGAAAAACATTCCATTTTTATGGACAGAAAGAATCAGTATTAGGTCGGGCGTGGAGGCTCATGCCTGTAATCCTAACACCTTGGGAGCCTAAGGCGGGTGGATCGCCTAAGGTCAGGAGTTTGAGATCAGCCTGAGCAACATGGAAAAACCACGACCAACGTGGAGCAATC